TTGTTCTGGGCAGGAGAAACGAGAAACCACTTCTTCAACTGAATTAGGATTTGTCAGTGCTGTCCGATAGCGTGCTCATGGTAATAAAAAGTGCTGTTACAGCCGCCACTTACTGAAGGTGTTCTATGTACCGGGTGCTTTTCTAAGCACCTCACAATAGACTCTTACTTGTTTGAAACGGAATCTGATTCAGTCAGTTGTTGTTATCTCCATTTTAGAGAAACGGAAACTGGATCTCAGAGACGTGGTGTAAGCACCCAAGATCATACAGAGGGTAAACACCACGCTTAGACCTTGAACCCAAGTTTGTCTCACACAAAAAGCTCAGGTTATACCTAATATACTCCAGTGCACACACTTATGTATCCAGCTAATAACAGATGATTTCCACTAAACACCAGTGAGACACTTTTTAAGGGCAAAATCTTATAGTATATCTACTTAAAAAATGTTGATTTCTATGACTGTTTTCTATGCTCTCCTGGAGAAGGAAATGGCAACCCACTCCAGTATTCTTGCCTGGAAAATCCCATGGACGAAGGAGCCTGGTAGGCTACTGTCCATGGGGTTGCAAAGAGTCGGACACAACTGATCGACTTCACTTCACTTTCACTTTCTATGATTGACATGATCCCTCCCAAGAGTGAAGTTGTTTTGAATACTTAAATTGTAAGTCCCTCATGAAACATCCTGTTGCTTTCTTTATTGAAATAATTTACAGATGGTCAATACCACATTCATGCAGGATTAGATGAGCCATAAGTGGTTTTAACTAAAGTTATCTCTTTACTAACTAACACTGGTTTGAGTGAGATAATCAGAAAAGGAATGGCTGGGACACACATTGGCTTTTGAGGTCTATCTCATGAAAACCAAGTCACAGATCCCCAGATTCATGTTTGTTCGTTTTTTAACTATTTTAAAGTTTAACTCTTCTAAGAATTACTTTTTGCTGATTCTCTGCACCAAAGGCTCCATACTCCTTCACCCTGTAATGCTTCAAACTTCATGATGTATCCTTGGTTTAGTTCAGTTCAGTTCAGTTGTTCAGTCGTGTCTGACTTTTTGCAACCCCATGAACCACAGCATGCCAGGCCTCCCTGTCCATCACCAACTCCCAGAGTCCACCCAAACCCATGTCCATTGTGTCGGTGATGCCATCCATCCATCTCATCCTCTGTCGTCCCCTTCTCCTCCTGCTCTCAATCTTTCCCAGCATCAGGGTCTTCTCAAATGAGTCAGCTCTTCGCATCAAGTGGCCAAAGTTTTGGAGTTTCAGCTTCAGCATCAATCCCAACAATGAACGCCCAGGACTGATTTCCTTTAGGATGGACTGGCTGGATCTCCTTACAGTCCAAGGGACTCTCAAGAGTCTTCTCCAACACCACAGCTCAAAAGCATCAATTCTTCGGTGCTCAGCTTTCTTTATAGTTGAACTCTCACATCCATACATGACTACTGGAAAAATCATAGCCTTGACAGACCTTTGTTGACAAAGTAATGTCTCTGCTCTTTAATATGCTGTCTAGGTTGGTCATAACTTTCCTTCCAAGGAGTAAGCGTCTTTTAATTTCATGGCTGCAATCACCATCCGCAGTGGGTTTGGTTTAGTTAGGGCTAAGCAATTAAAAATGCCAACAATTAATTTATTGCACTATGCTTTATGACCACATCAATTGTTAGACCAGCCTCAGATTCAGAGATGTTAAAATGTAAGGAACATGTCTGTCCTGGAATCCATAAAATATATTTACATGTTTGTTTTCTTCCCCACCCCTGACATGTCTAGATACTGAATCAATAGGGTAAATTAGCATATTGACTAGAGTGAGGCTAGAAAGTGTTTAATTTTGGATTTTAAAAGGTGATCATGAGGGTGGAAATCTCTGTCTTAGAAGGGTTTTGAGGACACAGAATTATTTCTGTTTACCAAAAGTGGGATGATGAAGGTCCTTGTCAATTCTTGTTCATTCTGCTGACTACTTCCATTAGGGAGAGAGTCAGAGATACTCAGTTAAAAAAAAAAAATGGAATTGCTGTACTTCATTTTCATTTACTTATTTATTTTAATGTCATATTTTCAAGACTTCTCATGCCAGAAACAGGCCTTTGAGATCAAAGGAAATACTTTGTGAAAACTATCTCATAGCTACAAAAATTAAAGCCCCATTTTGGTAAGATCCACTTACCAAAGGTTATTGTTGTTATTGAGGTTATCTGTTGCCTCTTCGAAGGCTGATGTCCTAAATAGATTCTTGTCAAGGAGACACAGTTGACATATCCCCAACTGCCTCTTATATTTTGTCAGTCTGGCCCCTATGAATCAGCCACAGGTTGCTTTCTCATGTTCCCTGGGGCCCCAGGCCCCAGGCTGACTTGGCCCCATCCTTCCTCCTTTGTGGGGACTGGCTTCCAGCGACCCGACAACTGCAGAGGCCCTTTAATTGGCTGCCTGATAAATGACACGCTGTATTCTTTTCACGGGGATAATTCCCAGGCACCCGATTGGCTACATGGAAATGACAGTTACCGGAGGGTTACTGGCCGGGCTAGAGCCTTGCTTATTAACCAACACAGGTGGGACTGGTATTTGTCAGCCTAAATTTCCTTCTGCATTCATCTTTGTTGTTAGCGGACCTCTGGCTCACATCAAGATGTTGAAAGTGAATTCTTAAGCACGCACCAAGCCCGAAACTTGGTTTTTCTCCTAGGCAATGCTGTTACAGATAAGAGAGAGAGGGGGAAAATCCGCACCATTATCCAAAAGAATCAAGGCTCCAAAACTGATAAGGAAAAGTCAGTTCTGAAGACACGGAGACAGGGAGTTTAATAACATAAGCTTTCAGATAACTAGACATGTAAATCCCAAGGTCAAAGTGATTGTGTCACTGTCATGACACCACCAGAGGATCAACCCAGTCTTGACATTTCCTTTTAGATCATGTGCTTGGAAGACACTTGTCTTTTTCCTCTGGGACAAGCAGAAATTCGCTCATCAGGAGGTAAAGAGTTTTTGCTCGTCTGCTTACACAGATTATGGCCTGTTTTTCTCCCATTTCTAAGGATGAAGTAGTTTGACACATCTTATTGCTGTAATACTATCCACCACTATTATACTTCCCTTTTTTCTAAGCCTATCATATACACTTTGCCTTCCAGCAACTGACAATATCGATTTTACATGCATGCATGAAGGGCAACTAAAATTTTGGCAAGAGGTTACAAGTGAGCTTTTTTAAAAAAATTTTTTCCATTTGGAGGAGGATGGCTTTGAACTATTTCCACAGTTCCCTTTAAAACAGGCATGTGTGTGGCTTGGAAGTGACATAAACTAAATGAGCCCTATGCACGCTTTCCACAAGTGTGTGCGGCTCGTCTAGGGTCTGGCCCCCATTTGCGAATGTGTCATCATGACACACGAGGCCGCCAGCACCTTGCAAAGTGCTCGGCCCTCCTTTATGATCGCTTCATCATTCCAGGGAGGCGAAACGCCATTGTGAGGATAAATGTTAAATTATACATTTAAGAAAACAGATTCTTAAGCAAAACTGGGGAAAGAGCCAAATTTGACTGACGCCCACTCAGTAATATTTTTGTGCTTCAGTTACTCTTGCTTTTGACACTTAATTTCTTCCATTTCACAGAGTCCCCATGACCATTTAAACTAGTCAGAGTTCTTAATTGCAGTGCCTTGTCTGGGATGCTCTCTTTCAATATTACTGAAGTTCGAAAGTCTTTCTTGACACTTCTTTGGTTCATTCGACCCCTTCCTTCGAATCGGATCTGAAGTTGCTGTACAGCCCAAGACTGAGGACAAGAGGAGAAGGGGGTGACAGAGGATGACATGGTTGGATGGCATCCCTGACTCAATGGACATGAGTTTGAGCAAATTCAGGGAGATAGGGAAGGACAGGGAAGACTGGCATGCATGTGGTCCATGTGGTCGCAGGGAGTCAGACACGACAGAGCAGCTGAGCAACAATAGAGGCGGAATAGCAACCTGATTAAATATATCTGCAGTGTTACATGAAAAATGGTAAATCGTGAGTTATTCATGCAGTTTCACCTCTTTTTCCTGAAGTACTCCTACTTCCTCTATTCCTACCTGGCTTCTCTGAAGACCTTTAACATTAGCTCTAATTCTCTTCTTTCCTTGAAACCTCCGGTTCCCCAGCAAACGGAGAGCTCTCACCTCCTTCTGTACATCATTTTTTTACGGCTTTACGTAGATGGTGCTATAAAGGGTATAGGGCTTCCCTGGGGGCTCAGGCGGTAAAGAATCTGCCTGCAATGCAGGGGACCCAGGTTTGATTCCTGGGTTGGGAAGATCCCCTGAGAAGGGCATGGCAACCCACTCCAGTATTCTTGCCTGGGAAATCCCATGGACAGAGAAGACTGGCGTGCTACAGTCCATGGAGTCGCAACGAGTCGGACAGGACTGAGCAACTAACACATTTACTTCATTCTTCACAAACATTATAATTAGCTCTCCACTCTGTTACACTATTCTGTTCTCTCCAAATATAACAAAATGTATAAGTTCTACATTCTTACAAGGTAGAGGTTACAGTCATTAGAACACAAGGAATGGAGCTGGGAAGATCAAGGATCGAAATTTTCTCTGGGGTTTTCTAATTGTGTGACGCTATACAGGTTATCATTTCAGAATTGCTTTTATGGAAAATATTTTAAAAATCCCCTTTCAGGAGCACGGTCAGTGCCTAAAGAAGCTACTGCCTGTAACTGCTTGGGGAGCTGCTAAACAGGTCCTCTGCAGTGAGCGCCGGCCCCGGCGCATCCTCCTATCCACAGCGCATGGCTCCGGTTTTACTGTCGGCCAGCGAGAGCCAGCTTTGGACTGATGCTGCAACCATGGGTTTCTCCTACCCTCTCTTTCTCTTTCTCCCCAGGAACTTTATGTTAAAAGCTAGCCTGGTTCTCAGTAAGTCGAGCTCTTTATAAGGAAACGTGTGAGGGGTGGATCAGGCCGCACCCAGAATTCAGCAGCAGACGGGGCTGGGGGGAGGTCCCCGTAGGGATCCTGCCGTCCAAGGTGGAGATCCAGCCCCTTGCAGCCACTTTGGAACGTGAGGGCTGAAGAAGGAGCGGAAGGTAACGCGCGGCTCAGCGCTGCCAGCGGGCTGCCAACTCGCCCTTTCTATGATACAGTAACCCAGGGCTGGCACAGAGAGGACGCCCGTAAGGCAAGACCCCCGTAAGGTAAGGTGGTGGGCCCGCATCGCGGGCAGGGCGTCTGCTGCCCCTCCAGCCCCGGGGGCCCCTCTCCCCTCTGTGCCGGGCTAGGCTTTAACTGAGTCTTGCGCGGGGTGGCTGTGCTCGGGGAGGCCTTTCTCCGAGGCACCTCTAGAGGGCAGGGTAACTCTCCTCCTCTGGTTCGCAGCTGCGGGCAAGGGGCATGCTGCAAGTTGGAAAGTTAATCTGTTCTATGCAACAGCAGCAGGACTCAGGGGATTCAAAATTTAGTTGCAAATAAATAATTTTTTTTTAAAATTTCAGTTGCAAATAATTTAGACCCAGTATAAACTGATTAACCCCAGCGCCTAATACTTACAAAGTGCCTACTTTTTCTGTTGGCACAATTCTGCAACTGGACGCGATGCTCGTTAAATGGATCTCCACTCTTCAACAGTCAAAAGCTGACCTCTCTTCTCAGGTCAACTGTGAGAGTAATTTAAGAATATGCTGCTTTATTTAAAAGAAATGTGCTTTGTCTCATTCATAAAGGGGTGCTAAAAATTGTATCCTTATTTGATAACTACATTTTAAGGTTTTAATGAAAAGCATCCTAATTTTGCGGGGCAAATTCAGTTTTCATATCACTGTTACATATACAGATTTAAAATCTGTATTTTAAAATCATTATTTTTTAACTCATACATACACAGAAGCACAACTGTAACTTTAGTCACTGAATATTTATACTTACTAAAACTAATGTTATACTAAACTGAAGAAAGGTCTGCTCTAAGCCCGTTTTAACATTTATAAATAAATAATATTGGTGCATTTCTCATATGGTTGCTTTAGGAATAAAATAAGACAATCTATGTGAAGCACTTTGCACAGTGCAAGCACCCAATAAGTATCAGTTATTATTAAAAAAGACCAAATTTTGTGGCACAATACTCTTAATTCTTTTAACAAGGCATTTCTGTATTACAAAGAGGCATCTGATTCTCATTATCCTAATATTTTGGGTGTCATTTACTGATTTTATTTTTTTTAGTCGCTCAGTCATGTCCGACTCTTTGCGACCCCACGAACTGTAGCCCACCAGGCTCCTCTGTCCATGGGGATTCTTCAGGCCAGAATACTGCAGTAGGTTGTCATGCCCTTCTCCAGAGGATCTTCCCAACCCAGGGATCAAACCCGGGTTTCCTGCATTGCAGGCAGATTCTTTACTGTCTGAGCTACTAGGGAAGCCCCTCAGACATATACAGGTATAGGACTCATAAGGAATGATTTGCAAAATAGGTAAGAGTGTCTCCCATTAGGAACACACACACACACACACACACACACACATCCCAAAGTACAAAAATTTTACCGGACCAACCTGAATTATGTCAGTGACGTGGAGATGGGAAACTGTATAGAATTTTTTTTAACTACATTTCAGTAATACCAGTGCCAATATATTGATATAAGACTTTTTAAATTTTTGAACAGAATATATATTTCTATCTGGGCAATTTTATCAAATTCAGAATATTGTTCATGAAGGAAAGATGGGATCTTTGAAACTAAAGATCTGAAGGATAAAGGAGATGGATATCTTCTACATGTTCTTCTGTCAATCCCACCTGCTGTTCACGAAATCAGATTCGTCCTCGAGATGCTGTTGATACATAAGAAGTGCAGTCGTCACCTTACCCTCATCTCCATCACCAAGAAGATAAAGAGCATCTTAATTTAAGAGGGGCTCTCCGCAGCCCTCCCCCATGCTTCCTCAGGCGCAGCCCCTTCACGCCCGGAGCTGACAGTGGATGGACGGGTACATAGGGAGCTGATTTTTAATGCCGGGACCTCTGGTCTCATCTGATTAACGTGTGAAACTCCACTTTCCTAAAACGCTTTCCTTTGCTCACAGCTTTTGACATATATGATGAATGTAAATTTATACTGTCCTTAGCCCCTGGAAACTTAACACAAATGAAGAGCTTGATGAATTATCAGTAAAAGACTCAGGGCAACAGAAGGCATTGGCTTTCTGATAAAAGACACAAGTGAGAGCTATTTAAGAAGACACAGCTCAGAGCTGATGGTATGAGGACAATACCCGTATCTTTCAAGACTGCATTTCTGGTTGCTGACCATGTCTGTCCAGTTTCACCTCCTATCTGTCTTGATACCCTCCTACCTTCAGTCCAGGCCACTCTTCTAGCCTGTGATGTGCAGACCCCCACAGGCACCCACGCCCACTGCACTGATTTCTATGGGTGTTCGGGGCAGGCTTACGTGATTTGTGGCTTTGGCGGCCTGACTTGGGTTTTGCCCTTGAGAAAAACTTGGGTTCTGACGTGTGTATCTAGTAAATGAAGCATGTTAATGGCATAATTGGTACACAGTGGATCATGCAGTAACCCTAGATCGCACAGACACCTCAACACTGAGATGACTTAGAAACGGCACGTTGCGCTTCGCCTCTGGTGACCCCTCCCCCCCACACTGAGCCTCCCCTCCCGGGCGAGAGGTGCAGGGTTGAGGTTGTCCGGGCTCTTGATGGTAGTGTCTGCTCCAAGCACACGTAATATGCTTACATAATAGAAACTGTGGGCTACACCTGAAGTGAAAATTATCGTCCTGGAGATGAGCTTTGCCAGGCTCCTCCCTCTCCTGGGGGGACCACTGCTTCAAAGCAGAGAGAGGCTCTGGGAGGTGTGAGAATATCCATTTCACTCAGCGGAATACAAAAGTGCCCTTTGTCAGCAGGGTGGATCACATACACCATTGCCCTACCTACTTAAGCTTAACCAAGAGGATGACTTATGGTCGTTCAGTTGCTCAGTCATGTCCGATTCTGTGACCCCATGAACTGAAGCACACCAGGCTCCCCTGTCCTTCACGATCTCCCAGAGTTTGCTCAAACTCATGTCCATTGAGTTAGTGATGCCATCCCACCATCTCATCCTCTGCCGCCCCCTTCTTCTCTTGCCCTCAATCTTCTCCAGCATCAGGGACTTTTCTAATGAGCTGGCACTTCACATAAGGTGGTCAAAGTATTGGAGCTTCAGCATCAGTCCTTCCAATGAATATTCAGGATTGATTTCCTTTAGGACAGACTGCTCTGATCTTCTTGCAATCCATGGGGCTCTAAACAGTCTTCCTATGGAAAATACTTAAAATGTCCAGTTCAAAAACTTAACTTGAGAAGATAGTCTTTAGAACCAAGGAAAGGATATTTGAGTGGCAAGGAAGCTCTTTCTGGAGCCTGCTAATCAAAATAACTTATTTCAGGGACCAAAGGAATTCTGGGATCCTGAGAAGTGCATTTTGCCTATCTCAGCTTCAGAGAGAGTCTCGTGCAGAAAGGCATGTGTTCTAAGGCATTTTGCTTCCGAGGAAGCTAAGTGTTCTCCCTAGGGTTCAATTGGAGGAAAAGCCTGGTTTGCCCAAAAGTGTGGGGTTTGTGACTCACAAGACTTTCAGCCTGAAAACTAGGAAATTCCTGGGCAACTACAATGAGGTCCTGAGAGTTTGCTCAGATCAGGCCGAGCTCTAGAAACGCTGCAGAAAAAGTCGTTCTAACTGTCCGTTGCCACAATCCTGTCACCTCTTAGCAGTTAACTCCATGGCCCCTGGCCTTTCAATCATGATTTTCTATCCCAAGGAATCTCTTATTCGCTTTCTCGGGGTCTTCATATGTTTCACTGTCACCTGGAAATCCACACTCTGAAAAGTGCTTAAATCCCCAAGTAAAAATAGTATTGACACAGACGGCTCTCCTTCTCCCAGTGTATTTACTTCTTGGTCACTGACTACAGACGTTTTGAGTTAACGTGAACATGGCCAGAAAAAAAAAAAAAAATTGCAGCTGTCTAATTCTTTGCAGGTTTTATTATATTATATAGGGACTATATCCCATTATAATAAAATGAGTTGGGTTTATTACATGCTAACAACAATAACAACAAAAAAATCACAAGTTGGACAGCAATTAGCTTGAATAGACATTTGTTTTATCCTTTTACTAGCAAAGCAACTGTAATTTTATGCTCCAGAAACTCTCATTCTTAAATGTTATGTCTGAGGTAGCTTTGCCAAACTGATGCTAATATTGTTATTAAGTAGATGGTAAATGTGCTCTTGAGGCCTCTTTGCTATAAAGGGCGTGGGGTTTACAGCTAATACAAGTCTAGAGCTCATGTCTGTGCTTGTGTATGTTTTTAAGCTACAGAATAAACTGGCCATTTCTTTCACACGTGAGCCCATCTTCCAATCTTTCCATCTGTCCATCCCTTCTCAAAATTCTCTTCCTGAGACAGGTTTTATGATGTACATCCCAAGATAGGTAATAAATCAGCTGTTGCACTTTAATAGCTGGCGTTTGGAAGAGCAGTATAAAGGTAACCCCTGAATACTCACTGGAAGGACTGATGGTTGAAACCGAAGCTCCAGTACTTTGGCCACCTGATGGGAAGAGCTGTCTCGCTGGTAAAAACCCTGATGCTGGGAGAGACTGAAGGCAAAAGGAGAAGAGGGCGGCAGAGGATGAGACCGCTAGATGGTATTACCAACTCAATGGACATGAGTTTGCGCAAACTGCAGGAGATGGTGGAGGACAGAGGAGCCTGGCGTGCTGCAGTCCGTGGGGCCGCAGAGTCACACGCATGACTCAGGGACTGAACATCATGGAGGTCAAGCTTTCAGACCATAAGCAGAGCCTGCTGGGAAGCAGGAGATTGTCACGCGGTCTGATCCCTCTCCTGAAAGGCCCAGACACCGTGTGCCGCTGAGAGCAGCTGACACTTCTCTGCCTCTCCTCAGTGACCACGTTAGAGCACCATGCTGCCCTTGGCAGAGGAGACCCCCGCCACCCTCGATGGCCCGTCACTTCCTCTGTCCATGGACGACAGCACGCGTCCTTCACGGCCCCGCCCTCGGTGACCGTGCCCTCTCCACCAACTCCAGCGCTACTCACAGACTCCGAATCCACAGTCAAACTCCGTAACATCTGGTACCTGTCATCAAGCACCCCTCACCTTCATACATGGGCGAA